GGGCAGGTGGCGATAGGCGCCCTCACCTTTGGCGCCGAGCATGAAGTCGAGCGTGCTGTGCCGTGCTGCTGCCATAGTGAGGCGAGGCCCTGTGCCATGCCTGGGGGAGGCGGCCGCGGAGACTGGGGGCCGCGCGGCGTGTCAGGCTGCGGCCGGCGGGGAGGGCGCTGCGCCGGGGGAGGCCAGGAGTAGGAGGTAGGCGGGGCCGCGGGGAACGACCGGGGCTCGGGGGCGGGGACGGCCCGCCTCCGGGAGGGAGGAAGCGGGGACGCCTCCAGCCCCGAACTTGGAGCGCCGGGTGTGAGGCCTCGCTAATGGTGGAAACGTAGGCACTGTGCTCCCAGGCGTGCGTCACCAATGGCCGCGCCCTGCGCCGAAGCTCTAGCCGGCGCTCCCTCCATCCCTTAGGTCACCTTAGGTTGACACTGCGCAGTGCGAATTACGGAGGGGCCCACCACAAGCAGTTCCCCATACCTTCCCCCAAGCGAAGGCCCTTGTTATTTTCCGGCCAAGTCAAAGAAATAAAATGCTAGGCGCCACTACTTTTGATTGAAAAGTAGAGTTTGCCTTGTTCCTACACTTAAACCACTAGGATTCTTATTACCTTTATTATCAGCAAGGGTTTGCTTTCCATTTGAAGACACAATAGAAAGCTCTTGAGGATTGAAGTACTCTAAATTCCCAAGATAGAAGGAGAGAAGGAAGTACTTTAAGAGGACAACACTTGCTAAGCTTGGGCTGGGAGATTGCAGATTTGGGTGCTCCTCCTCAGGCAGGACTCCATTGCTTGGTGCCTCCGTGGGCAGCGAAGGCCCTTCCCGTTGGCTTGTTTCTAACACTGAGGTTGCAGCTGGTATTCAACAAGATGAGACCAGAGAAAGCCGGAGGATCTGCGGACTAACACCCACACCCACACACACACACACACACACACACACACCTATTGGACTGCCGATATTCCTGAGCACATGCCTATATCATTCTCTAGTCTTTTCTGTGCCTCTTGGGACTACAGCCACTGTTGTAATGGCTCGCCAAAATTTAGGTCATGGAACTCTTGCGCCTCCACAGAAGCACAAAGAACCTGGACATGAAACTCATGCCTCCACCATGCGTTCTCAGGGGCTGTTTTGCTGAGTCCTTCCCTGACCTACAAGAACCCAGGGATGTCCTCGTTGGTGTCCTACCAACCATTCTCTCTTAAAAGCTGGATCTTTTTTCAGTCAGTTAGGTTTTCCCTACCTGCAGGCACCTGTTTGTTGCCCTGCATGTTTTTCTTCCTTCCTTGGAATCCAGGTCCCCAGTGTTAGTCCCTGTTCTGCACTTTAATCCTTCAGCACTCTGCGGCAGCCTACAACTCTTCTTTCTTCAGGCGATGTCCTCCAGTTCTTGCCATTCCTCTGGAGTGAGGTCGCTGAACGTAGTTGTCTCTGTCCTTGTATGTTGCAGGGGTGGTGGGTTTCCACAGGCTTCGGGAAGGCTTCTCCCAGCTCAGCACCAGAATGGGCCCCGCACTTGGTATAATCATCCACTGTCACCATCCGGAAATTCTTAGGAACTTGGGAACAGGGCACCCAGTGTTTTCATTTTGCAATAGAAGAGAACAGTATGTAGCTAGTGCTGCTCCCCAGCTCACGTTGGGCAGTGCAGGCCCCCCTGGGGCTGGGGCTGGGGCTGCTGCCTGAGCTCGTGCTGCGTGATACCCTATCCCCAGCACTTGTGCCTCACCCTGCTTTCTCCAAGGAGCAAAATAAATGGCAATGTCAAAGCTTGAGATTTTGCCATTAGCAAGTTGATAGCCCATTTGAAAGAAAAGCAGTTTAACAAAAATGCTTCAGGCCAGAAATGCTTCAGTTTAACAGAAATGCTTCAGGGCATAGTGATGCATGCCTGTAATCCCAGCATTTGGCAGGAATGAGGCAGAAGGATCTCAATAATTTCGAGGCTAGCCTGCACTACATAGTGTGTTCAAGGCAAGCCTGACTACATAGCAAGACCTTGTCTCAGAAAGAAAAAAAAAAAAAGCAAATGAAACGAATAAAAATCTTTCATAAAGTACAACATCAACATCAGAGGCAAGTGGACCTTGATATGAGATCAACTTTATTAGGGTACTATTAGGAGTTACTGCAAAGATGTTCCCAATGTTTGTTCTACCTACCATGGACTCAGGACATGGGCAGGAACAAAAAGCTCAATGCCTCTTTAAATACCTCCACCTGGGCTTTAAGTACCTCTTTGGATTCTGGAACATGTTCTTATTGTTTGAGTTTTATCACCTAGACCCATGGCTTCAAAACCTATTTTAAGGCTAATAAGCATTTCATTTGTGGTATAAACAATTTGGACATCAACAACAGAAGGAAACATTATACTGCCCTGCACAGATAGCGACATCACCTACTTCCTGGGAAACAGAAAGTTAAAAGCCAAAAAAAGGCCCTTTGTTAAATATGCCATGGAAAGGCCAGGGATATAAGCTAAGCAGCACAAGTGAGTTCGACTCCTGACACCAAAAAAAAAAATGTCATGGACATGGTGGTGGTGGCAGCAGTTATAGGGTGGCTAGGGTCCTTGGCAGCATCTACAGGCTGTAAGAAGTATCTAAAGGCTGTTCATTATGCTGCCATCCCAAGCCTTCCTTGTGAAGGTTGTGGAGGCAGCTGGCAACCTTGGCAGCTACCCTGGCCATTAGAGCCTAAGTAACCTTTTATTTCACTGTTTCTTTTTCTGCTCTTTTACCATTTCACGTGAGACCCTTATAGAGATTCCACTTCTCTGCCTCCTGTGTGCAGCTGTGGTGAAATCACTTCCTATTTTAAAAACTTGGCATTAGCTGTTAGGGTTAGACAAAAATCTGGAAATCTCCCCTGTCATTTTTCCAGACGAATGTGGGACTCACCCAGCAATGTAAACAATGCAGTATTTCAAATTTTCATTAAAAAGACTGTTTAACTCTGGAGAGGGGGTGCTTGGATCTTTGACACCATGGTTCACAATTTCAGCAGCACACTGGAACCAACTGGATGGCTTTAAAACCTTTTGCTACTGCCTGGGCCCTATCCCTAGCATCTCATGAAATTGGCATTGAGATTATTTTGTTCAGTAAATCAATAAAAGCCGAGGAAGTTCTCATGTGAAGTTAAGAGGTACCACCGCCCCACAATACATATTACTCTGCATTTTGGAGGATGGCTAAAAATGAACAATTTTTAAAACGAAATAATCAGTATACATGAGCATGCAGAGAAATCTGAAGGCTTGTACATTGCTGGTAGGAATGTAAAATGGTGCAGCTGCTAGGGAAAATACTGTCCTTTGCTGGTTCCCCAGAAGTTTATACAAAATAGCCATAACTGAGCTGGAGATGTGGTTCGGTGGTAGAGCACTTGCCTAGTATGCCTGACACCCTGGATTGTTTGATCGGCAGCACTGCAAAAAAAAAGAAGAGAAAAAAGGGAATGACAGCATAACTATATAATCCAATAATTTTATTCTTGGATATATTTATGCAAGATAATTAAATACAGGTGTCAAAAAAGCTCATGGTTATAACAGTATGATTCACAATAGCTCAAGGTGGAAACACCATAAATAGCCATCAATAGAGGAATAGACAAACAAAATGCAGTCTGTTCATATCCTGGAATATTATTCATTCATTAAAAATGAAGTTGATACATGCTACAGCATGAGTGAGCCTAAAAAAACATTATGCTGAGCCTCAAACATATTGTGATAAGTGAGAGAAGCCAGTCATAGGTACAACCTATTGCAGGATTCCATTTAAATGAAATGTCCTTTGTAGATAAAGCTATAGGAAATAGAAAGGAGAGATGAAAAATGACATTCTTTAGGGATGATATCATGTTTTAATTTTTTCAAGAGAGTGTGAATTAGAATTAAAACAAAAAATAAGAGTGATACAGAGTTTCACTTAGAGTAATATGAATTTCACAGTATTTGTTGTAATAGTGTTGTCTTCCAACCAGTTGTTCATATTACCAGATATATGCAAGTAAAATTAAAGAAGAAAGAAATGTATAAGAAACTAAGAAAAGAGAAAGCCAAGCAATTGAAAAAAAAGGAGACGAAACAAGCTAAAGCATTAAATATTTCTTTCCATAGACCATCAAAAATGCACAGTACAGTTGACCAAACCACCCTGCTTACATGCATAGATAAATCTCTTTCCCCTACTCCCTCTCCTGTCCTTCTCCTCAACTCAGTAACTCTTTCCTTTTGGATAAGTTTGTTCCCTTTTCCCAGCATCTATTGTACCCTTCAAATGCCATTTTCTCTTTCAGGTTCTCACACTAAGGAGACAATACAATGTTTGCACGTGTGGGGTCTGATGTATTTCACTTAAGAGTGAGTTCTCTAGTTGTATCAATTTACCGAAAAAGACTCAAATTTATCCTGATTTATAGCTGAATAATACTCCATTGTGTAAAAATACAACATCTTCTTTATCCATTCTTCAGTTGATGGGGGTCTGGGTTGTTTCCAAGATTTGGCTATGACAAGTTGTGCTGCTGTAAACATGGGTGCACATATATCACTATGGTATGAGGTTTTCAGTTCTGGAAAAATACCCAGGAGGGGACTAGCTAGCTTGAATAAGATCTTCCGTCCTAGCTTTTTAAGAAATCTACACACTGATTTCCATAGTATTTATACCAGTCTGCACTCCCACCAACAGTGCAGAAGGGTCCTTTTTCCCTTCTCTCCAGCATTTGTTATTGACTGACTTCTTGATGATAGCCATTCTTTCTGGGGTGAGATGGAATCTCAGTTTTGTTTTAATTTGTATTTCTCAAATGACCAGTGATGGTGAACATTTTTTCATATATTTACTTTCTATTTGCATTTTTTCCTCTGAGAAGTCTATATTCATCACAGATGCCCAGTTTTGGATTGGATCATAGAATCTGGGGAGACTGACTTTTTAAAATTCTTTGTGTGTTCTAGATAGAAGGCCTTTGTCAGAGGGACAGTTGGGTATAATTTTCCCAGTTTATGGATTTTCTTTTTACTCTGTTGGAGATTTGCTTTAAAGTGCAGAAACTTTTCAAAAAGATGAGATCTCAATTGTTGATTCTTTGAAGTATTTCCCATGCTAGTTGGTTTTTGTTCATAAATCTTTTGTTCATAAATCTCCTACCTACCCCTATATCTTTAATATTTCTGCCTACATTTTTCTCCAGAAGATTTAGTATTGTTGTTTTAATATTTAAATATTTGATCTATTTTGACTATAGGTTTGTGCATGGTGATAGGGAGGAATCTAGTTTTAGCCTTTGAAATGTGGAAGGCCAGTTTTACCTGCACCATCTATTAAAGAGGCTTTCTTCCAGTTAACACGTTTGGCCTCTTTATCAAAGATAAAGTGACTGAGTGT